GTGTCGCCCCTACGCATGCTTCAAGTCTTTCTTCCATGCCTTGCTGGGAGCTAGAGAACGTCTGGGGGCTCAAGAATGTGAGACGCGTCCCCTCCCAAGAAGGTACAGCCCAGACCAGGAGTTCCAAGACCAGCCCAGACCCAGATCCAAAACCAGGAGTCACAGGATGGTTTGGAAAGTGGCCTGGCATCACCTGAATCTCAACTTTCAAAGCAGCAGGGGGAGTCACTACTTACCTGATAGGATAAACGTTACCCAAACCCAAAATGGGTTTATTGTCAGCCTTTTGTTCCCTGTCTCAGTCCAGCCACGGCACTGGCCCATGAAGCTGCATCACTGGGACCTCGGGCAGCAGCTCGGTCGCAGGGACTCGAGAGCACCACGAAATGAAAGAATGATGCCCCGGGCCCAGCACTGCCTACCTTGTTCTCCCTTCTTGACCTCCGCCCTCAAGGGAAATCAGAATGGGAAAGGTTGACAGGTTCACCAGGTGGGCTGGGAGAGAGAGCAGGAAGGGGCTGGCAGAGGAGGGCGATCCCACGGCCAATATCCCTGCAGGGAGACCTTAGCTGCTGCACTGAAGGGACCCACGGGGACCTGGGCCCAGGATGGCAAAAGCTGGGAGTGTGTGGGAGAGTCCTGGGCCTCCCTAGACAAGACCTCCCGCTCTGAATGGGTTCGAGCCAACACCGAAGGCCGCCACTGTGCCCTTGACGTCTGTTTCTTTTATGTTTGTGATATAAAATTTATTTTAAAATAATTGTAAGATAAAAAGACAGCCAGGTTAAAGAAAAAGAAATTTAAATAAAACACTGGCTCAGAAAAGAAACGGCTGTTTGTCTGATGCAAATTAGTAACCAGACAAGAGCAAGGCTGGTCACTCGCTCATGATGGAGCAGGCTCTCTGAGTGGCTGGGAACCGTTTCCATCTTGTTGACAAACACATGTTGCAAGGCAGGAAATTACCCTCCTCAGTGCCTATTTTATCTCTGTTTAATTGCTGTTTGATAATAAATTACAACACAGAGTCCATTAATTAAACTAACAACGTCCGTGGAACACCAATTCCTTCTTCTGGGAGTTGCCTTGTTACGGGAGCTTTGATTCAGTTTGTTTGCCCAACAGCACTTTATGAAGTGGTTTAAAAAGATGCCAAGGCACGTGACTGGTGGGGCAACACTCCTGGCCTAGGGGGAGCGGGTTTGGGCAGGAGGGGGAGGAAACCTTGGTGAGCGTGAGGAAGGGCAGCCTGGCAGCTGGAGAGCAGTACCAAGGATGCACTCTAATTCAGAACATGTGGTGGAAGAGAAAAAAACCAAAACGAAACATTAGGTCTACTTTCAAAAAATCAGCTGCTGGAAAACGACCATGGTCCCCACTTACAGGAATTCATCCCAGAGTTGGGGGGGTGGGGAGCAAAGAGCAGCCTGATCTGGTTTGCCATTCCATCATCAACTAAACGGAAGGAGAATTCATTTGGAAAAGTTCTGCATGCAGGTGGAATGGGTGAGCGATGAATTCTAGATATTTCCCAACAAAGCCCCCTGTACTGGGCTGTGAAGGCCCCCAGCTCCCAGCAGGAGAGGAGAACTTGGTGCCCGGCTCCTGTCCTGGCAGGGAGTAGGCAGGTAGTCACCAGGGCAAAGACTCTCCTAACATTTCACCTGTGCTGTCTGGGAGGTAGGCTACCTGGGCATCCCAGCTGGATGGGTTTAGCAGGTGACCAGGTGGGACCTTGAGGGAGGGGATGCAACACGAGTAAAGGCTCTGGACAGAAGGGGTTGGAAGGTCAAGTTCTCAGGGAACTGCCCCAGACCGTTTGGAGATGTGGGCATCACAAGGGTGTCAGACCGGGGTTCTGAGCAGTCAGGGTACATGGGGAGGGCAGGGGGCCCTGGGAGGAGGTGGCCGCAGGTCTGTGAAAGGCAGACGCAGCCGCCTTCATGCCCTGGCCCTCAGGTTCAGTCAAAAACTTCCTGAGTGGCTTGGAGAACCTTCCCCTGAAACACCCAGGTGAAAAGGCACTGCTTCGAGCCCTAGGAGGAAGCCCTCAGGTCTCTGGGAGGCATTTACTGGACCATCTTTACTCCTTTCCTCATTCACAGAAGTTGGTTTGACGGGCTGGTTTTTGACTACGCAAATCCCTGCACGTGATAGTGTCTGTTACCTCACAGTTAATAAGCACTCAGTTCAGATGGGACCTCTTCAGAAGGTCGGACGAGGAAACCTGGGAGTTCAGCGTTCTAAAAGCTACTCCTGGCATTTCCCAAAATGATGCTCACGTACAGCATGGTGGCCCAGAAGTGGGCAACTCCAAGGCTCAGTGTCCAGGCTCCAGCTGCCCTCCTGGCCCAGTACCACCACGTCACCATCTCCTCTCCCAGCCATCCCGCCCGAGACTAGTGGGGGTGGATAACTGGCTTGTCATCTGACCTCTCCCAAGACGCAGCCTCTTAAATGGCTGACACAACCATCCCCTTCAGGCCACAACTCCCCACCTCCACTTCCCCGGCCACCAAGACTTTTAGGGCACTTTACTCCTCCAGACCCTGGGAGGGAAGAACTGGAGAGTCAGTAGGGACTGACGGTCAGGATGGCTCCAGAGCGTCCATCCCTCTCTGAACTCCTCCGGGACTGGCTGTGCCTGATCTAAATGTATCATTAGGGCTTCCCTGGTGGCGCAGTGGATGAGAGTCCGCCTGCCAATGCAGGGGACACGGGTTCGTGCCCCGGTCCGGGAAGATCCCACATGCCGCGGAGCGGCTGGGCCCGTGAGCCATGGCCGCTGAGCCTGCGCATCTGGAGCCTGTGCTCCGCAACGGGAGAGGCCACAACAGTGAGAGGCCCACGTACCACAAAAATAAATAAATAAATAAATAAATAAACAAACATACCATTACCACACTGCCCCCCACCGCAGCAGCAGATGAACCTTCAAGGGCGCCCCAGTGCCCTCAGGGTCAAGTCTCAAACTCTCCAGGACAGCATCCTTGCATCACTGGGAACTTGTTAGAAATGCAATATCTCAGCGCCCCCCACTCCCCCCCGACTCAGAAACTCTGAGGATGGGGCCCAGGAGCTGTCATAAGCCTTCCAGATGATTCTGCTGCACACTGACGTGTGAGACCCAGTGCCTTGGAACATGTCTTATGAGGCCTTGGAGAGCCGCCTCTCCATCTCTCTTCTGCCTCATCTCTCAGCACGTCCTTCCCTCTTGCATTCTAAACCCTGGCCAAACTGGGCCACCTCTGCCTTTTAGCACCCAGCATCCCAGGCTATCTCACTCTTCTCACATCTTCTACGCTGTAGGTTTCCTGGTCTTTCCTCCTCCAGTCTAAACTGCTTGAGAGGGGGGGCTGTATGTTATCAACCGCCAAACACAGTCGTCACCAGTGACTGCAGTAGGTGCTCAAGACCCATCTGTTGAGGGAAGGAAGACATGAATGGAGGAAGACACTGGGCTCTTCAGAGCCTCTTGCCTTTGATGTTAAAGCTCTGTTTCTCCACGGAAGGAAGCAGGTCTGGGCTTCCTGGTCGTTCTTCTACTCCCTGCGGGCACTTTTAGGCAGTGGTAGGGCTCAGGAAATTTTCTGCAATTAAATGGACTGGATTTGAACTTAAAATGCTTGGGTTGTGCTGGAGAACCTGCTCCAGCACAACCCAAAAGAGCCTGTTCACAGGCACTTGCTCCTCTGTGCCTCAGTTTCCCCATGCTGCCTGCTTGCCTCCTAGAGTGACCGCAAGGAGAAAAGGAGCAAATGCAACCTGGCGTTACTTGTCCACTTTCAGAGGACACATCACACACTGAAGGGAGCGGAGGGTCTGGATTATGAGAACTACCTGCGGTGACAGGAAAAGAAATACAGCTCTTCTCTTTCCAGATGCTGGCTTAATGGGAAAGCAAAAGTGCTCTGAGCGGAGAGAACCACGAGCCATAAATGCACGCGAGAGTCTGTGTGTATGACCGATGAACGTGAACTTGGCACGTAAGATGTGTGTCCATAAAACATGAGAGAGATGAAGGGAGCTTACAGGGCATTCTGTCCACTGTCTTCCTTTTATAGATGAACAAACAGAGATTGTAAGTCTGGCTTAGAACCAACCATCTTGTGCTCCTATGGGATTGAATATGTTTTCCCAGTTTGTAGCTTGCCTTTTATTACTATTGGTTGACATAAAATTGGTTCAAACTTTGATGCATGTCAAGTCTAATGACATTTTTGGATATATTTTCTCCCGGTTCTAGAGGATTTCTGCTAAGCTCTTGGTGCACACACCCATATACGTGCACGCGCACACACACACACACACACACACACACACACACACACACACACACAC